ATTCTGGGGCATCCACTTCATAGTGGAGCTCCTTTGTATGATCAGGCTGAAGTTACATGAGCCTTGGTTGGCGTCCTTGCCTCCGTGTCCTGATTCTGCCTCTCCCTTGCTAGTTTCCTCTGGGGGCACTTCCTTAACAGCCACTGGCACATGAGTCTTTGCCTCAGGATCTGCAGTGGGGACATCTGACTCTGACACCTTAGGAGAAGAATTATTATGAGTTTACCTTTTAAAATTGATGTTGAGATTGGCAGTCATGGCAATCCCCCCAGCTCGACATGCACACGTACCGGTGGTGGAGTCCATCATGGTTGCAATGGCACCTCCATGAACAAATCTAGTTACAATGGCAGAGAGAGAAAAATGGTCTCAGAAGTTTGGGAATCAGAGAGGGAGAAATTATCTAAGCATCTTTACACAATTACTTTGGAGATGTTCACTTTGTCCATATTCGATGTTTTGAATGTCAAATAATATCCCCCAAATTCAAAGCATAATACTGTAGAGTCTTGAGCACTTACATAAAACAGGAACTTAATAGTAACTGGATCACACCATACAAAAAACTAAAATATACTTTAAAAATTTATATTATGCTTCTATTAAACAAACTATACACATTCGATGTTTAAAATTTTAGAAACTGCAGTAAGAAGAAAAAACAATTTTCCAGGTGCAGTGGTACACACCTGTAAACCCAGCAACTCAGGAGGCTGAGCCTGGACGACATAGTAAGACCCTATATCAAAATGAAAAGAAGAAAACAACAAAAAACCTGGGGATGTAGCTCAGTGGTAGAGCCCCACTGGGTTCAATTCCCATTACTGTAAAAAAGAAAAACTTAAGGCCTACGATACTACCATCTAGTCAGTGTCAGGCTATTACTAACATGTTAATGATACTCCCCCAAATTATACTCTATTGCCCTATGCTCTATAATAATATATTCTCTAAGTCCTTTGATATTATATTAAAATTTTAATTAATATTAACAATATTGGTAACACTTCTTTTATAATATATTATAAACATCTTTCTATGTCAATAAATTACATCTACACTACCATCGTAATGTCTTCTTTGTAGTCCCTGGACACATGAGGGTTCTAGCAGATAGAAGTCTTTCAGTTTCACTTTGCTGGGCTATCCCACTTACCCAGGTGCTCCCTGCAGGTGAGGACCTACTTGAAGAAAGCAAAGTACCCTTTTCTCAGCATCATTATAGAACATCACATATTCAAAGCCCAGGCCATCCTCAAAGCTTCTTGTGAAGAGTTGGGCACGTTCTTCTCCTTTTACGAGACTTGGGTCTACAGGGAAACGAGGTAGAGGTCATAGGTGGATGAGAAACAGGTATAAGAGAAGGCTATGACCCAGCTAAGCACCTTTCATGGTGCTTAAAATCATATGTGATGATTGATTTAAATGTCAATTGGGTTCAGAATTGAAAGGGATGGGAGGGTCCCAAGGGGGGAAAAAATATAGGATCTTTGCCACTGTGGACTTATTAGTCTAAACGAGGATACAGTAAATATTCATGAAATGAAAACTCAGCACTGAACTATAAATGCAATCAGGAAACACAGATGCTAACTACTGAATAAAATAGTAAGGTACAGACAGAAATTCTTCTTGGAGTAGACAGGCTTCAAATGAGACTTAAAATGAATAATCTAACAGTAAGGAGAAGGTTTTCCTGGCACATATAAGTTAAATCCGTTAATTATACTGGATCAGAAACAGGGCAAGTTCAGAGCAATACACAGTGAGATTCTTATGTCAGCCCCCAAACTAGGGGTAGAACCATTGGGGTTTATGAAATCAAATCAATGGGTTATAAACATCCTTTAAAAAGAAGCACAATATGTCAGATATATTCTGGGTAAACACTGCTATGCTTGTTTAGATAGTTTTTTCCACTTACACAACTGCGTGGAAGTTAAGTGTTCTAGGTTAAGTCAAAACGTAGGTTACTAAAAATAAAGACGGAAAGCTATTGCTTTAAGAGAAGGGTGTCCTTTTATAATTATTTTAAAATTTAATCTTTTTATTCTTAGCTTTCTTTTAGGTCATCTGATTTGTCATGCATAAAACTCTCTAAGTTTCTTTCATTTCTATTGAATTCATATTTATAAACTTGAAAAAAGATATGATAAGAAAATCTGGGAGAAACGAGGAGGACAGGGGAAGATGCCGTTTTCTTAGGTCGTCTACTGGACTGAGGTCACCCTGTACTTTCGACTTTGTATGCGCATCAATTGGCACACACTACATGTACTCAGAGAACCAGTCACAGAAACTTAAAATTAAGGATCAGCATTATGGCACAACAGAAATAATCTGGGCCTAGGAATTGGGAAAATTAACATTCTTGGGCTAGCTGTGGCCTAGAACTATCCCTTTTTCTCCATAGTTTATGGATAAATGAGAAAAATACGAATGGTGGAACAAGTTGTCAGAAACACAGAATCAGACTCTGACCTTCTGAAGTGGAACCTGCTTTAACAAGGTTTCCAGGTGTTTCCTATCTGTGTTGGAACCTGAGATCGGGTGGCACTGAAGGCAGCCGAGGACTACCAGATCAGCTATGCACTCTGAACCACTCTGACCACAGGGGGGCGGGAGGGGCTTTGAGCAGGCAGGAGTCAGGGCAGCAGAGCTTAGAGGACACCATGAAACCAACAATCCTACTGAATTTGGGACTCAGCAGGGGTTTTTGTGAAGGCATTTTGGTGGAGTTCATCAGGTAGGAGCCAGAAGGCACTAGGACAGTCAACTATTGTGTGATGTGATGACACCCAGAATGGAATCAGTAATACAAATCAACTACATTTTAACTTATTTGAAAAATTTTTAATTTTAATTAAGAAAAACTTTTTGGTGCTACAGAGTGAATCAAATACCTTCAGCATGCTAGGCCAGCATACTACCACTGCACAGCCCTAAAAATAGCTAAAATTTACCTTCATTCATAAAAAAGAATAATTCTTATCTCTGTATTGCAGAATCTAAAAAGAAGTTTAAGTTTCTTTCTTGGTTGAAGCAGTTTTACTTTTGTTTCATTTATTCTTTTGGCAAACACTGAAACATCTATGCAAGCACCAAAAGTAAAGTACCTTGCCCAAGATCACATAGCTTTAAATTGTGGAACCAGAATTTCAACCCAGAAATTTGTGGTTGAAATTTCAATCACTGAATTAGGAAACTGTCAGATTTTGGGTGGCTTGTAAAGCCACGAGACAATGAGATTATTAGAGAGCAGAGAATGGGGTACTAAGCACTGAGACATGGGGGCAACCAAACATTCAAAGTTTGAGGATGGGGAAGGGGGAGAAACTAACACAAAAACCTAAAAAAGAGGGTGAGTGCAGTGGGAGAATGAGGTGACCTGGAAGCTGAGTCCAAGGAGGAAGGAGACACAAGGAGTGCTAAAAGCAGAGAGGTCACTGGATTTAGCAGCAGGAATATCACTCGTGTCCTTGACAGAGCAGTTTGATGGAGTGATGGGGGTGAGGGTCTAATGGAGTGGGTTCCAGAGATACCAGGAAGGGAAATGCAATTGTGGTGTGTCTCATGCTGAGAAAGATCTAGCAGAGAGATATGTCCTCCACAGGCCAAAGGGGAGGTGATGCAGTGCAGAAATGGCCCCGTAGAGCACAGACAGTTCATGCAGAGAGAAGCAGAGAACTGGGACCAGGGCAGGGGGGAGGAGGACGGAGGCAGCGAGAGCTTGGAGATTCTCTTCTGATGGCTTTTATTTTCTCTTAGTGAAACAGGAAGTAAGATCAGCTGACAGTGAGAAAGGGAAAGAAAAAATCAGAGGCATGAGAAGAAAGAAAACGGAGGAAATAGTAAGGTAGGAGAGCTAGGAGAGTGAACAGACTAGATTTGCACATATGGTCATTAGGCAACATTAAGCTCACTAAAAAACATTAAGTCATTAAAAAAAAAATCACAATCCCCAAACTACTACCGAAAGATCTGTTTAGATGATCAAATGATATAAGGTCATTCAGAAATATCTGTTAAAACTCCAAGAGAGCAGGGACCCTCCTGCCTCAGTCTCCTGAGTTGCTCAACAATTATTTGGTGAGTGAACAAATGCTGTGTATTGCAAATAAGAAACCAAAAACGTCTTCACAATGGTTTTAAAATGAAGAATGTAGCTGGGTACAGTGGCACATGCCTGTAATCCCAACTGAGGAAGGTGGATAAAAAGTTTGAGGCCAGCCTCAGCAACTTAGTTGGACCCTGCCTCAAAATAAAATATAGGAAGGGATGTAGCTCAAAGGTAAAGTACCCCTGGGTTCAATCCCCAAAGGAGGAGGAGGAAAAGGAGTGAGAGGCAGAAGGGGAGGAAGAATAAGAGGAGGATGAAGAGGATGAAGAGGAAGAAGAGGAATAATAATAATAATAATAATAATGTATTAGGTATATATTTATATATAACGTTCTTCAATTGGATTCAGTAAGGCAGAAGGGAACACACAGCTCACATGAAAGACACGGGGTGCTGTCTGATGGTAAATGAACTGTGCGACATGGCTCTTATTCTAAGCAAACACTAAGGATTCTGACAGACTGCAATATGTCCTAGGAAAAGCATCCAGGAATATGAGCAGAGAGAAATACCTTCTGGGAGAAATGCCTGAAAACAACAAAGACTGGACTGGCAGGTGAACCGGAGTAGGATGAAGTATCTAAGTCCTACACACCAAAGGATGTAAGTGAAGGAATTCTCATATCGTGTCCTCGTAGATGGCAGAACTCAATGGAGGAATCAAAGTTACAGGAGAGACTAGAACTCACTGATGCATACCGTTGTCCAAAATGGAAGAAGCCCTTTGTTCCAAGTACCCCATGACTGCAGGGATTCAAGTTAAATCCAGATGACTGGTTGTGAGGGTGCAGAAAGCAAGAAAAGACAGGAAAAAAAAAAAGTAGTTTCCAACTTTTCTTTCAACTGAGGGAGCCTACTGTCTTTCTTCCCTTCGGTAGCAGTGGCTTGATAAGGAGAGGGCCAGACACTGAGCTCCATGAGGGTGGACACCTCCTGTTTTCTTCATTGCCAAATCCCTGTGCCCAGCACAGTGCTTGCCACAGTCAATACTCAATTGATATTTGTAAAAGAAGGCTAGTGACTCTCAAGAGGGAAGAGGAAGAAGTATCCTAACAGCCCCTGTTAAGTTGGTGCCCCACACTAAGTGGATGATTTTCAAGGTTCCAACTCTCAGATGCTGTTTATTTATCCTGATTTATCTAATTTTCAATAACTAGTCACACTTATAAAACTCTTGAAACCAGTGGTTCCTAACATTTTTGGGTAATGAACTCCTTTGAGAATTTTATGAAAATCACTAACCATTTAAAAATGAATATCCCTTGTAGGAGGGCAAATTACTAATTTTTAAATATTTGTCTGAAAGGTAAACAATTTCCTTTCTCATAAGGGGAGGTGCTGCAAGGTTTTGTTTTTAAGTGCAAAAGCCTAATTTAAGATTCTAATTAGGCACTATAGCATCTTCTAAAATGGTAAAGGCTAGCATTATTATGTCCATTTAAACAGAGATAAAAATCAAAGATGAGTTCAATAAGACTAGCTTCTCAGGTGTGAAGATAAAACCAGTTTAAAAAACTTTCTGTTTCTAGTCAGTTGTTAACATCACCATGAGGCAGGAGAAGGGGTTAGATGAACAAGCAGGGAACCTGGGATCCTCTGAGGTCAGGTCTCTGTGTAGCAGGGCAGAGGAAATACAGACACAGGCGAGGCCTCATCAAGGTCAGGCCAACTCCAGTGTAAGTTGTGGTGGGGACGAATGATAGTGAGACATCTACAAAAAAGGCATGGTGACCTGATTGGATCACAGGGCACATGAAGAGCTCAATGAATGCCTTTCCCACGATTGGGTAAGGGGCTAGCTCCCTTCACCCTGTACATCTATATAAACCCTAGACAGTAGCCACTTTCTAGTATCCCTCTCTATGGATCCCTCCTCTGCTTTCTTACTCTAAGAACTTCAGTTACTTTGCTCTTACCCTTGTATCTATGGATTTCATTATTTGAATTTGTGAGACAATGAATCCACATTCTGTGCTATAATCAGTAATCAGCTGAGTCAAATGAATCAGCATCATCTGCAAGTTTGTTAAACACAGATTCTTAGGCTCTGCATCAACTAAAGGTCCAGGGGATTCAGATCAAGTCAGGTATCAGAAATACAATAGCAGTTTAAATCTTCGATGATTGTAAAACCTATATGCCAAGCAGACTCATGAAGAGAAGTTTTCATATGTCCCTTTCAAATCACAATAGCTGTCCTGACTGTGGTTTTACTCCTACCGGACCCAAGAAAGGAGGTATGAAGCAAAGAGGTTCAGTATTCTAATTCCTAAACAAGGGATCTGGCACCACATTTCAGAGCTAAAAAGGGAAGGGAGAGATAAAGTAGAATACTTTCCCTGGAATAATTCCTTCTTTTTAAAAAAAAAAAATTTATATATATATATATTTAGTTGTAGATGGACACAGTACCCTTTGTTTCTTTATTTTTATGTGGTGTTGAGAATTGAACCCAGTGCCTTACACATGCAAGGCAAGCACTGTACCACTGAGCCACAACCCCTCCTTCCTTCTTCCTATAAATATTTATGAACACTTACTATGTACCAGGTATTCTTCTCACTGGAGATACAGTAGGGAATAAAACATACAAAAATCTCTGCTCCTGTGAAATTTATGCTCTCATGTTGCGATATAAACCATTACATTAATAAAACACTAAGCATGTCAGATGGTGTGCAATGGAAAGAATAAATACACCCTATACACATATAACTAAGTGAAGGAAGACAATCTGAAAAGGCTCTGAATGATTCCAACAATATGACATGTTGGAAAAGACAAAATTCAGTGATCTGTGGTTGCCAGTTTAGAAGGGAGACATGAACAGGTAGAGAATGGGATTTTTAGGGCAGAGAAGCAATTCAGTATGACTTTATAATGACACATATATGTCATTATGTATTTGCCAAAACTTATAGCAAATGCCACACAAAGAGTGAACCCTAATATAAACTATAGACTTTGGTTAATAGTAATGTATTAACATTAGTTCATGAATTATAATAAGTTTACCACAGTAATGTAAGATATTAGTAATAGGGGAAAATTGGGTGAGAAGCAGGTAAGGGATATATGGGAACACTATACTTTCTGCTCATTCTTTAAAATAAACCTAAAATTGCTTAAAATGTATATTAAAAAATCAAACAGAATGATAAGAAGTACAGTGTGTGTGTGTGTTGGTATAGGGTGGGTAGCTTTTGGGGTTTAGAATCTGGGAGATAAAGGGGTTACCCAAGTATTCTGAACTCCTGAGGGTGATGAAGCCAGATACCAGGCTAAAGGGCAAACTGAGACCAGTAATGACAGCCTCAAGACAGAAGGCTGATGAGCGTGTGGGTGGCTTTTCACTTCTGCTGCTGAGGATGCCAGGATTGAGATAATCTTATTCTTAACAATCGGCTTTAGATTCTCCTATAGTCTGCAAAATAACTATTGGGATTTCTGGCCTATAAAACAGGTGTACAGAAACCCCTGGACTATACTCCTCTTTTCAAGTAATAACTGTTCTTAGTTTTATACTTGATATTCCAATATTATTGATAGGAAAGTGGTTTCTCCTACCGAGATAAAGGGTTTGGAATCCTTGAAAATTTTTAGAAAAAAATTGTTTGTATGAAGGCAAACGTTTCCAGGAGCCATCTTCACATTTCTTCATGAACCGGTCAAAGAGGAGTCTTAGGTCCTTGCTCCAGCTGGGGTTAGGGAGAGCACAGTCCTTCTGAATGACTTTCTCAGAAGAAAATGACCTCTAAAACACAGAAGAAAAAGAAGATTAATGGAAGGTGCATCCTATTTCATAACCCATTCTTTCACTTTTTTGTTTTTTGGTTTTGGTACTTGGGATTGAACCCAAGGGTGTTTTATTTATTTTTTATTTTTTTTAAATTTTGAGACAGGGTCTCACAAAGTTACCCAGCTTAGCCTTGAATTTGTGAATTTCCTGCTTCAGCCTCCTGAATTGCTGGGATTATAGGTGTGTGACACTGAACTGGGCCTATTCTCAAGCTTTCTTTTTTTGTACAAGGGACTGAACCCAGGAGCACTTGACCACTGAGCCATATCCCCAACCCTTTTTTATTTAGCCTTGCTAAGTGCTGAGGCTGTCTTTGAATTCACAATCCTCCTGCCTCAGTCTCCTGAGTCACTGGGATTACAGGTGTGCGCCACTGTGCCCGGCTATGCTCCAACTTTCTAAGACCATCTTAGTGTTTTTCTTCCTCCAGAGGATTGTCATTTCAAAATGGAAGGGATGTTCCAGATATCACCTGGTCTAACCTCTTTGAAAGAAAACAGGAGATTGAGAAGATAAATAATTTCCCTAACATCACCCAGCTAGCTACTGGCAAAGCCAGCATTAAGCCCACATGAGCCAGGCACTGGTGACAGAAATGAAGGACAGACATTGTCTTCCACATAAAAAGTACATCAGTATGTGGGTGGAGATGGGGGGAGTATACCAGGGTGGTATGCACAGGAAACTAAAGCACAAGGAAATGGTCTTTGTCTCAGGTTGGGTCTCTAACTTGAATACTGATTAGTCCAACAGAAATGAGTCAGCTGGAAAGAGTACTGAAGGCAAAGGAACACTGTGTGAAAAAGCCAGGAGGCATGAAAGCTTTGAAGAGACTTATCACAACTGTATGAAGTAGGCACTAATTACCACTCCACTTTACTTTAAAGCCTAAAGTAGGCTTCCAACTGTGCTGTAAAGCAGTAGTACTTATTCCTCCTACCTAATTGTATTTTGGTACTGGTTATCCAGCTTGTATTTCTCCTCCTCCTTCTAGTCTTTAGTGACCCTCTATTCTACCTTCTACTTCTATAAAATTGACTTCCACATACGAGTGAGGTATTTGTCTTTTTGGGCGTCCTCCAAGTTTTTAAATGTATTTTTTCTTAATATGCTTTAATCTCAGTAAGAAATATAATTTTGTTGTTTTTATTGCTTTAAATTATTTAGTATTCACTTTCTCATGTTTAATCTTAGAAAAACATTTTTTTGGGGGGGTGGTATAGGGGATTGAACTCAGGGGCGCTTGACCACTAAGCCACATCCCCAACCCTATTTTATATTTTATTTAGAGACAGGGTCTCACTGAGTTGCTAAGCACCTTGCTATTGCTGAGGCTGGCTTTGAACTAGCAATCCTCCTGCCTCAGCTTCCTGAGCCACTGGGATTACAGGTGTATGCCATTGTGTCCAGCTACATATCAACATTTTTAACAGTAGAGAAATAGTCCTTTAAACTGATGTACTATAATTGCTTTTAGTACTTTAAATTGATGTACTACCATAAATTCAACGATTTAAGTTGAACATTTAAATAGTTTCCAATCTTTTACTGTTCTAAATGAAACTATTCAAGAGAACATTATGAATATAGTCTTTTCTCTTTTGGATTATTTCCAATCCAAATCCAGTTGAGTTTGTTACCCTTGATGGACACTATAATGTTGTGGGAAATAAAAATGTTAAGTGTCAGTTTAAGAAGTGTATGTAAATGCACTTGTAAATTTCATAGCATAGACTTGGAGGGGTAAATGCCAGGGATAATCATTATCTTCTGTTGTACTACGTAGAGGAAAGACTACTTGATCTTTGGTTCCACATTTATAAAGGTGGTACTCAGAAGAAGGTTTAACTTTTTTTTTTTTAACGACCTTTTAAGTTACTGAGCAGGAAGAATCACGACTTATAAAGCCTGCAAATACTAATACTTAAATATTCCCAACACAGATTATAAAGCACCCACATAATTAAGGGAATTAATTCATCTTTGTTGTAAGATGAGCACATTTTCTTTTCCAATGGGCAAGATAGTTCACTACTAACGACCAATGTGCATGCATCATTCTTTAGCAGAAAGCTCAACAACTTAATGAAGATGCCATACGCAGATATTTTAACTTTGCAATCTGACCCCATTCGCCCAAACTAGGCTGCAAGCTCCTTAAGAGAAAGGACCTTTTCTCGGTTATCTGACGATACCGTCAAGGGCCCACAGCGCCTGGAGCGTCGTCGGAGCCAGACAGACAGCAACTGGGCGCACCGGCCAGGCCAGACCAACGTGACCACAGCTCGGACAGCAGGTTCGGGCACCGAGTCCCGGCAGAACCTCATGTAATCACCCAACGGTCTTCCAGGGCGCGGAGACCATTCGGAGGCTCCGACCGCCAGGGTGACCTCGGCCCGACCGCCGCGCCCGCGTAGGCTCCCCGAGCTCGGCAGGTCCCGCCGGCGCGCCGGCCGCTCTCCGAGGCCAGCTCTCCCGCGTGCCCCTGTCCCCTAGCGCCACCTTCCTAGGTCGGTACCAGAGCCAAGCCCACCGCGCGCCGCGTCAGAAGCAAGTCACCCTCCTCCGCTTTCTTAATGGTGGGAACCTCAGGCCGTGAGTGTCCCGAGGCCGCGTCCTGCTGCTGCCGCCT